GAGATAGGACGACATGAAGTCAATGGACTGTTTCAGCACTACCTGACTAAAAATGCTGCAGCCACTGCCAGGCAGTTGGTTTTAAACTTCACACAGAGCAGGGATGAAGGAGGGGTGCAAGTGCTCCACTCCTTGCCCCCTGCCTCACCAGCTGCCCCTGTGAACCAGCAGTTGAGAGGTGGAAGACTCCAGAAGCTATCAACCTGGCCCAGCATTCTCCTGTATGGTAACCAGGCAGGATAAAAATCAATGATTACATCTTGAAAGAGTTAATGGTTTTCTTAATTAAATCAGCTTTCAAAACATTTACTTTAAACATTTACATTTACATTAAATGTTTGAAAACATTTACATCCTGCCCACCAGGCAACTGGTGCGCAGGATCGCATGGGAGGCCAGTCTGAGGGGGAAAAGGAGTCCAGGAGAGCTGGCTGAATTTTAAAGAAACCTTACTGAGGGTGCAGGAACAAACCATCCCCATGTGCAGGAAGAATAGCAAATGTGGCAAACGACCAGTTTGGCTTAGCAGAGAACTCTTCAGTGAGCTTAAACACAAAAAGGAAGTTTACAAGAAGCAGAAGCTTGGATAAAACTTTGGAGGAGTATAAGAATATTGCTTGGGCATGCAGGGATGAAGTTAGGAAAGCCAAAGTGCAATTGGAGTTGCAGCTAGCAAAGGACATGAGTGGTAACAAGAAGGGTTTCTCCAAGTATGTTACCAACAAGAAGAAAGTCAGGGAAAGCTCCCTTACTGAATGGGGAAGGCAACCTAAGGAGAGATGAGGAGGAAAAGGCTAAAGTGCTCAATGCCTTTTTTACCTCAGGCTTCACAGGCAAGGTCAGCTCCCAGACCACTACACCGGGCAGCACAGTTTGGGGAGGAGGTGAGCAGCCAGCAGTAGTGAAAGAACAGGTTAGGGCAGTGGCAGGCAATTATTTTGGGAGGAGGGCCGCTTACTGAGTTTTGGCAAGCCATCAAGAGCCACACAACAGGCAGCCCAGGGGAGATAAATATTAATTTTCTAAATTTTTTAGGGGCCCCACGGGCCGGATAGAATGGCCTGGCGGGCCGCATCTGGCCTGCAGGCTGCATTTTGCCCGCCCCTGGGTTAGGGGCTATTTAGAAAAGCTGGATGTGTGCAAGTTCACGGGGCCAAATGCAATGCATGCAAGGGTGCTGAGGGAGTTAACTGATGTGATTGCAGAGCAGCTGGCCATTATCTTTGCAAATTTGTGGCAATTGGGGGAGGTCCCGGATGATTGGAAAAGGGTAAATATAGTGCCCATCTTTTTAAGAAAGGGAAGGAGGATCTAGGGAACAACAGTTTGGTCAGCCTCACCTCAGTCCCCCAAAAAACCATGGAGCGGATCCTCAAGAAACCCATTTCTAAGCTCTTGGAGAAGGTGGTTAGGAACAGTCAGCATGGATTCACCAAGGGCAAGGCATGCCTGACCAACCTGATTGCCTTCTATAAGATGACTGGCTCTGTGGATGCGGGGAAAGCAGTGGACATAATATATAGAGGTGCACTGATATATCAGTTATGTATCGGATCAGCACCAATAGAAGGAAAATTATCAATGGCTATTGGCTTTTTTCGGCCGGTGTAGCTGATAACGTCACCAATAAATAGAATATGCCTTCTGGCCAGGGCCCCTGGAGGCTGCGTGCATGTGCACAGCCGCAGCCTGCACATGGCCAGGAATGCAGCCAGGCAGCGTGGAGAGCAGCGCCCCACAGGTAAGTGGGGGGAGGAAAGGGTAGGGGGCACTACCCAGCCAGGGCAGTGATTGGGAACTGGGGCTGGGGTTCATCCAGAGGATCAGTGTCCCAGCACTTGAAAAGGGTGACAGGGATGCTTGAACTAAACCTCATCCAATGAGCTTTAGTTCAAATGCTGCCACCAGCATTCTTAAGCACAGGGACACTTAACGGGAACGGAGCAAGAGTGGATGCAGTCTGCTTGCTGTGGGCTCAGGGCTCTCCACTCTTCTGCCTTTGCCCTGAGAGCCCCATACCAGCCTGACAGCAGGAGGCACAACTGGGCTGGTGCGGGGCTTCTGAGGCAAAGGCAGCAGGATGGAGTTCCCTGAACCCACAGCAAGCAGCCCATTTCCACCCTCTCCCCCACATGGTTAAAAGCGTCCCCGTGCTTAAAACTGGTGATGGTGACAGTGCTTGAACTAAAGTCCATTCATCGCCCTGGCTGGGCAGCGTCCCCTGCTCCTGCCCCTTCCCCACTCCCTCCATCACTGTGGGGGCCCCAGTCTGCCCCCCACACGCCCCCTCTCCACCACAGACTTACCTGCAGGGCACTGCTCTCCATGCTGCCCAGCCACATTCCTGTAAATCAGTTATCGGATCGGAAGTGGCCAATACTGCTGGTTAATAATCAGCTATCAGTACTGACCATGAAAATCTGTATTGGTGTACCCCTAATAATATACCTTGACTTTAGCAAGGCTTCTGATACCATCTCCCACAGCATTCTTGCAGGCACGCTAAGGAAATATGGGTTAGATGAATGGAATGTAAGATGGATAGAAAGCTGGCTGGACTGTCGGGCTCAACAGGTAGTAATTAATGGCTCAATGTCTAGTTGACAGCTGGTGACAAGTGGAGTGTCCCAGGGGTCAGTCCTGGGGCTGGTTCTGTTCGCTATCTTAATTAACAATCTGGAAGATGGGATGGATTGGCACCTTCAGCAAGTTTGCAGATGACACCAAGCTGGGGGGTGCAGTAGCTATAGTGGAGGGTAAGGCTAGGATTCAGTGACCTAGACAAATTGGAGGATTGGGCCAAAAGAAATCTCATAAGGATCAGCAAGGACAAGTGCAAAGTCCTGAAACACTCCCATGTGCCGCTACAGGCTGGGGGCGACCATGGGCCTCTACAGGCTGGGGGCTACTGGCTGGGCAGCAGCTCTGCAAAAAAGGACCTGGGGGTGACAGTGGACAAGCTGAATATGAGCCAGCAGTGAGCACTAGTTGCCAAGAAAGTTAATGGCATCCTGGGCTGCATTAGTAAGAGCACTGCCAGCAAACTGAGGGAAGTGATTATTCCCCTCTATTCTGCACTGGTGAGGCCACATCTGGAGTCCTGTGTCCAGTTTTGGGTCCCCCACTACACAAAGTTAAAGATAGTTCAGGAGGGCAACAAAAACGGTTCGGGAGCTGGGGCAGATGACTTCCGAGGAGAGGCTGAGGGAACTGGGCCGATTTAGTCTGCAGAAGAGAAGACCGAGGGGGGATTTGATAGCAGCCTGCAACTACCTGAAGGTTGTTGCCAAAGAGGATGGAGCTGGGCTGTTCTCAGTGGGGGCAGATGGCAGGACAAGGAGCAATGGGCTCAAGTTGCAACAAGGGGAGTTGAGGTTGGATATTAGAAAAAAAAACCCACCTCTCACTGGGAGGGTGGTGAAGCACAGGAACAAGTTACCCAGAGAGCTGGTGGCATCTCCATCCTTGGAGGTGTTTAAGCCCCGGCTAGACAAAGCGTTGGCTGGGATGATGCAGTTGGGGCTGGTCCTGCTCTGAGCCGGGGGCTGGACTAGATGCGACCTCCTGAGCTCCCTCCAACCCTCATTTTCTGTGAGGGCATAATTATTTCTTTGTAAAAATAAACCAATTTGAAAATCCTTTTGAAACAGCAGCCTGTACGAAGGCCTCACCTTGCTCCTGTCTGTCACGTAAAATAAAATAAAATACAAACATGACGCTGTGCGCAGAGACTGGAAGCCGCTGCCTGGCCAGCCACAACCAGAGCTGATTCAAACGCTCACCCAGCCCACGGCAGCAGCAGCCTCTTTTGCAGGGACACGGGCTATTTTCTTCACTTCAGCCTATTCAGCTAATTCAGTTCAAAGCCTCGTTCCTTTAAAAGTAAGGAGCTGAGCAGAAAGAGGGCAGGCGAGGCAGCCTACGAGTCTCCTCGCTCCGACACCCGCACGGAAACAGCGGCCAGACAATCGGCGCAACCGGCTCGCGGGGCGCTTTCCTTTGCGCCGTTCAACGGGATTTCTCCAGCTTTCCGATGCCGGTTTGATGCCTCCGAGCACAAACCACCCGACAAGAAACGCTGCCCCTCGCGG